TAAAAGATGAACAAAATATATTAATAAAAATTAAAAAATGTGTTCTGTAAAATCTGGTTTCAGTCAAAAGGCTACATTTAAGGACCTAGAAGGCCACATGTGGCCTTAAGGCTGCAGGTTCTCCACCCCTGGTCTAGATCATCTCCTTAAAGGCACTTGCCCTGTATTCTGTCTCCACCTTCCCTTCCCTCTGGCTAGTAAATGGTGATGCCTGGAGCAACCCTTTAAGTCATATGTTATGGGTGGCAGAGCTGCCACATTAGCCTGAGACAGTTCACTTTCAGAGTGAGAGGAGAATAACAAAATGTATCTATTAAGCCATTTAATTTTTTGTGAGAGCAGGAAATGATGATTGGGGGTATCATACCAAATACTAAAATAGCAACTAACTTACCTCTTTTCATAATTTCTCTCATTACCTATCTTCATTTTACACTCACATACATTTTCATTTTCCCCTTTTAATCTCTACTTTTCAATTTGCCATTATATTACTGAAACTTCCACTATTCTTTACTGAACTGAACTTCCAACTCCATAGCTGGCTTCCTTTGAAGGCATGGGCTCTCTTGATGTAGAACAGACAGTGCAGTGTGGGAGAGAAGAGTAGATTCAAAGGTCTTCATTCTGGGGGTGAGTGGGGGGCTGTTAGACAAACCCTCAGCTCCACTGATAAAGACCTGCAGGCAAAAGTAACTTCCTAAAAATAGAATAAAGGCTAATATTAGGCCTTGTTTAGTTCTGTGTTTAATTTCTTGGAGCTCTCCCACCTCAAATTTTAAACTCAATTAATATAATCAAGACAATTAGTGTCATGGCTAAGAGCGCAGACCCCAGAATCAGAACAAATCTGGGTTTCAATCCCTGCCTTGCCACCTATTACTATACTAATATGATTGTGCACAAGTTAACTACTCTCAGTCTTGGCTTCCTTATCTGTCAAATGGGATTAACAGCACCCTCAGAAGATAGCTATGGGAATTAAAGAAAATAATGTGTGTTCAGTACTTTGTATACCAACTGCTGGAGGACTCAATAAGTGTTAGTTGTTATGATAACTCTATGCCTTTCCACATGCTACTATATTTCTTCTGTCTGGAATACCTTTCTTCTCTTGTTCACCTGGGGAATTCCTTCATATTCATTGTAACTCATGCTCTGTGAGGCCTTCCCAGCAACTCGACTTGCCAGAAGCCATCAATCTCTCCCTCATTTGTGCTGAGAAGACACATATATCAATTCCACTTATTACAGTATACTGTACTTGCCTATATCTGCCCCTCCTCCTCACTGTGGAGATGGTCCATGTCTTATTAATTGCTGAATTCCAAGTACTTAGTAGAGTACACATTGTACGTTATCATACATATTTGCAATAACAAACTAAATAGGTTCTTGAATTCACTCTAGAATCAACCCACCTCTCTTTTGGGTTAGGAATTTGGCATAACAATTATGTTATTCCTAATATCAAAAGAACTGTCTTATCAAATTAATTTAAATTGAAGCTTAATTGTCATTGCTGATATTCTAAAAGTCAGTTATCTGAACTTGAACATCTATACATAAATGCTCTCAAAAGAGAATGTTCCTGTCTAATATTTCTTCATGTTTTGGGGTAATTATCAGCAGATGTAATACAGAAGATTTTAAAAACCACAGTTACTAACTGAAAATGTATTGCTTTTGTAATAAGGAACAAGTTATTAGAATTTTAAGGAGAAAAATCATGATAAGAATACTTAGCATACACATGGAAATTCTTACTTTCTAAAGTCTTTTCACTTGTTTCTCCTAATTGCTTGTGATAGTGAAAGCAGTTGTACTCCTATTACATGGGAGGTCACATATAATCAATAATTCCTAGAACAAAGCTCTAAATTATGTTTTGGCTAACTTTGGTGGCCTTTATAGTGGCTGTTAAATCCAGACTTCAATAAAATATATTAATATTATTTTTTACAGTTTTCTAGAAGGGAAGATAATATATCTATGGATCCAACTTTCAGCAGGACTAATATCATTCCCCTTGGAAAACTTTAAGAAAAGTTTCTGATGACAGTGACCATATGTCATCTTAAAAAGTACAAGGTATTTTGTAAAGAGAAATATAAAATACCAAGCATTAAAATAATTAAAATACCTCAATGCAGATATGATGCATTCCTCCAGTCTTGTTTTTCTGCAGAAAACCAGCAATTGGACTGTCACTTCCCAATGGATGAAGCAATTCGATCTTGGTGTTTCCCAGGTTGACAAAAATAACAGATACTCCATGGTCAGGAAGAGGGACCGCCTCACTTACCTGGGCCCCCAGTACATTCCTATAAAATGTTGCAGCCTTTTCCAAATCTGGCACTGCTATGGCTACATGATTGAGTCTACCCAAGTTCCACAGAGGATCTGCCACTTGATGCAAGGGTTGTGACGTGAAAAAAGCTCTTAGTGTTGGAACTGAACTTTGGAGTCTGGAAAAAAGTCCTGAAAAATTGAATAGCCATTATTATCCTTCTTTCAAGAATTAATGCACTTCCAAATAGAATTTTAAAAATGAAACAAATAATACACACAAAAATTCATTATTTATATACGTATCCTTTTTAATTATTGAAATTAAATCTGGAGATAAATAGAAAAACTTAAGTCACAATTACTCATTCTGCTCTGCCCATTTAAATAACTATCTGAAATTAAAGAGCTAATTCCGAGCTTCAACTAGATTTAGAAGAATGACATTTTCACAATAATTTGTATTTAAAAGTAACACTTAAAGGATAGCTGCATATCATGAATTACTTGCTATTCTCTGCATTTCACGGGGGAAAGGTTGAATGTGATAGTGAAACAACAAACATTTAATGATAGGAGCAAGCAATTTTCTTCCCTCCCTATACTTAATTTTTATCTTATATTCTGTCGTAAATTCATTAAAGGCATAACCATACAGTACTTTTTAACATATATTTTATCTGAATGATTATCAACTATGGAAAACATCTAATTGTTGGAAGAAAAACAATCAAAGATCAAGAGGTATTTAACTTAGGAGGATTTCCTGAGACCAGATTTTGTTTCTTTTTATAATTTTGAACCATTAGAGACAGAACTGCTTCTCAATGTGAAGAAATCCCCTCTCATTCAGCAACTGAAGGTTGCAAGGTCTTCTCTCCATGTATTACTCTGCTTCCCCATTCCCCAAAACACAGGACTTGAAGAGCCAGATTCCTCCCAGCAGGAAAATTATATACATGGATGAGGTATAAACATAATCTTGTAAAACCACATCATTTAGTAAAAAGGTAAGAAATAGCAAAATGAAGAGCACATATTTTATTTTTAGAGACAGGGTCTCTCTCTGTCACCCCAGCTGGAGTCCAGTGGTGCAATCATAGTTCACTGCAGGCTTAACTCCTGGGCTTAATCAATCCTCCACCTCAGCTTCCCAAGTAGCTGGGACTACAAGAGTGTGCCCCCATGCCTGCTAATTTTTAGAATGTTTTGTAGAGATGTGGCCTCTCCATGTTGCCCAGGCTGGTCCTAAACCCCTGGCCTCAAGCAATCTTTCCACTTCAGTCTCCTAAAGTGCTGCGATTACAGGCATGAGCCACTGTGACCAGCCCAAGAACATATATTTTAAACAATAGGTTGTTAGTTAGCTCTGAATGAAAAACACTTCAAACAGTATTTAGAACTATAGACCTTCAGCTAACAAAAAATAATTCCTCTAACTGAAATTTTTAATAACAAGGAAATTAAATTAAAGTGACACTATTTTAAAACCATAAACCTGATGTTTAGATGGCAAAATTCAGCGTAAGATAGTCTTCTGCTCTGCCCCAGTCTATATTATTGATTACTGAAATACCCAAAGGTTCTTATTACCCGTAGGTTAATATAGCCCAGTTCTATGGACTCATCATATTATGAAATCTAAGTGTATTCCAACCCAGTACACATGTACATAAATGTAAAACTGAATCTAAATTTCATAAGAATACTTAATCCTTATTAGATGTAATATGCTCTGATATTTTCTGTTCTATTTCAATTTTTTAAAAATACTGTTACTGTCCACTAAATATCTAACTTTCTATTTTGTTGTAAAGATTATATAGTTGGTGTGAAAAACATAAAACGATGCCAGACAGAAATAGTAGGTACACAATCAATTCAATCATCCTTATTGTTAATGATACACAACGATTGCTTGCTAGATAAATGGCACGCAGGGCTGTCTGTGGAGACCAAGAAACTATCTCATGAGGATATGGTGATAGCAAATTATAAAAATGCTAACAAACAACAAAATCATTGATTAAGATGCTCTTCCCTTCTTTCTTTGCCTGTCTATTGCAAGTACTATTTGTAATGAAAGTTCAATACAGAATGTATTTATATCAAAGAATTCATATAAATAGGGTCAGTGAATGCTAGGGTAATATGTACATGAAGAAGTTGTCTGTGAAATTTTAAGAATATGTCAAGTATTAAGTTCAGGTGTTTCTGAATTCTTTCTGCCAGGGTTACTTCTATAAGGGATGGGACCGGTAGAGGTGCCCTGACAGGTGTCACGGTAACAGCAAAGGGACATATAGAAATGTCAAAAAACAAATTACAGGGTATCTAAGTGAAGATGAAGTTTTATATCTCATGTCGGTTTTAGGGATATTTCAAAACCTCTGTCACTTAAAAGGAAGGCCAAGAAACTCACGTTATAGGAAGGCTCACTATAGTCTATCTCTCTCCATAATATACTTATCGTTTGGTTCTAAGTGCAAGAAGAGGAAATAGGTTACTAGAATGAATGGTTCTTTTTCTTTTAATAGAAAACAAAATCTCTTTCATATGTTAAAAAGAAAGATAACATCATATTTTATATATTGTAAAAATTAAGACTTTGAGCCTATACAGGTTTATCCTATCTCTTGAGATGTGAACTGTCTTGAGAAAGGAAATGTCACTTTTATTGGATTTATTTGGTCCCTGAAACATACATTCTAGGAATAGGGTATAAAAAAAAATAGTGATAGCAATGAGAATTCAATAATCCTGCTTCTTTAAAATGAAGGGATAAGGATATAAAAATGGTCAACAATCACAAATTGTAAGATACTCAACATCTTACAACAGTCATTAGAAAAAAGCAAATCAAAACCACGGTGAGATATTTCTTCACACCCACCAAGATGGCCATAACCATGAAAATAAAAAATAGCAAGTGTTGATGAGGATGTGGAGAAACTGGAACACTTGTACATTGCTGCTGAGAATGTAAAATGGTGCAGCTACCATGGAGCAATTCAGCAGTTTCTCAAAAAGTTAAACATAGAATTATAATTTGACCCAGCAATTCCACTCCTAAGTACCCAAAATAATTGAAAATATGAATTCCGACAAAAACTTGTACACCAATGTTCACAGCAGATTTCTAATAGCCAAACAGTGAAATATTATTCACATCTTTACAATGGAATATTATCTGGATAAGAAGTACTAACATACTACAACATGGATGAACATTGAAAACATTATGCTAAGTGACAGAAGCTAGATATAACAGGTCATATATTGTATGAAGCCATTTATATAAAATATCTACAATAGGTAAATCCATAGAGACAGAAAGCAGAATAGTGGTTGCCAGGGGATAGAGGGAATGGGGGTTTCCTTTTGGGGTGATGAAAATGTTTTGAACTAGATAAAGATGGTTGCACAATACAATGTAATAAATGCTGCTAAATCACACATTTTTAAAGGGTTATTTTGTTATGTGAATTTTACCTCAAAAAATAAATAAATAAAGGGATGATCCTAGTAGTAAGAAATCGGTGGGTAATATTCTGTAGACCAAGCAAACTGGGAGGGGAACATGAAATAAAGGGGTTAAAATGAGATAGATACTTATATTTAATAAAAATATCTATTCCTGAAAAGTTGGGCTGTGAATTGAACTCTTATATTTTGTCCTTTGACTTTTAGTAACTTTTAAGAGATATTTTTCCAGCTTTGAGATATGATAACAAATAGAAATCGTATATATTTAAGGTGTACAATGTGACGTGTTGATTTACATATAAATTATTAAATGATTACCACAATCAAGCTAACTTTTTAAAGATTTTTTATTTCAGATTGCCCTCCAATTGGCAGGAACTCACAACTCTTTAGTTTTAGGATTCTCTGCCTTCATTTCAGAAAGATGTAGCAGAATTGCATTACTCTGAACCCTGTAATGTGTAATTTGTGATTATTCCAGTAACGGTTACAGGTGGAAAAAACCACTGTTTGGGTATTCTTTAAACCACTGACCCTCAAGCGTTCTCAACAGGATACTGGACATGCTTGGAGATCAGCTTAAGTTTCTTTTACAGGACTTGCTCTCCTTTCTAGTTTCTCCCCAGTCTCTCCCATGGTGCGAGGTAAAATAACGCCATCCCTCATCCATTTACTTCATTTACTTCTGTCCCTGCCCCCAGCCTTGCTTGACACGCTGGGCAAGTTCCCTCGCCTCTGGCACACATTAAAAGGTAGCGACATCAACCACGCACAGCTCCCGCGGTAGCAGCGAGACTAGCCTACAACCAGCCAATCCCGGTGCTGAGCGGAGGCGTTCGTGTAAGGTACCTTCTGCCCAGGTGCTGACCGCGGCTGCGGAACGCGACTTCGGGGACAGAACTCATTAGATCTAGGTGCTCGGGCCACCCCGTGGCCTCCTCCGCCCCCTGGCTTCCAGTCTCACGCGCCCCGCCCCACGACGACCTTCGACTGCGCGAGGTATTCACCTGGGGCTTCCGCAGCCGCCGCCCTCAGCACGTACGCCATCTTGGGAAAGCGACCCGCTAAGTCCCGACGGGCTGCAGCGGCGGCTAGGAGAGCGGCCGAGGGGCGGGGCGTCCTGGCCAGGGGGCGGGGACAGAAGCGGCTAGGGGCCGTGGCGAATGTGGCTACGTTCCTGTTACAGTACAACGTTGTTGAAGCCACTTACTTTAATGCAGAAACTTAAAGCCAGGACGCGTCACTCTTTATGGGCCCCTTAAGCATACGAAACAGAAAGTTTGGAGAACGTTCAAAGGAGCTTAAGCCGACCCGTGGCTCAGTTTCCCACCCCGCTCCTCTGCGCAAGCCCAGTAAAAGCTCTCGCGTTGTCATTGGCTCCAGCTGAGGTGGGTCCGGAACCTGTGCGCCGCGGAACTTTTGGCTCTGACCTCCTGGTTGCGCGAGGCGCGTCTTTGCTGCGCGGTTTCCGGGCGACTTGTGTCTTACATGCGGCGCTGCGTCCGGAGTTGCTGACAGCCATGGCCCCGCGGGTCTGGCGTCGACGGACCCTGGAGCGGTGTCTGAAGGAAGTCGGTAAAGCCACTGGCCGGCCAGAGTGCTTCCTCACGTAAGTGCACAGATCCCGGGCTCCGGGTGCGGCCTGGATCTCGGGTGGGCTCGAGTTGCAATCTGGAACTGGGGGGCCGGGGCGGGAGATAAAGGGGAAGTGTACGTCGCTTTTCCCCAAATGTCAGTTTACCCTCCCCTAGAATTTTAAAAATTATTAAAATCTGTACAGTGTAGCTCTCCCAGTTGTGTGGTTTTGAAATCGAACTAAGCTCAGTTATTAACGTTCTGAGGCCTCTCTTGAAGCTTGTGCATCCCTCATTCCTCTACACACAAACTATGTTGGTTGTTGTTTCTTCCCATGTGGCCCTAAAGCACCCAGTGCTTACCTGTCATCACACTTTATTGAAAGTATGAACTTGTCGCTTGTCTGTCCACCCCCACGACTAAGCTTCTTGAGAATTAGAACTGCCTTTCATCTCTCTTCCCAGCACAAGCGATTCGTACGTATTTTGTTGAAGAACTTCAAATATGGTTTATAAAATTACAACTAAGATTTATATTTCAAACTTTGACCTCACCCTCGAGCTCCAGGCTCGCAGCAACTACAGAATAACTGAGCTTAATTTGATTTCCATAGCACACAACTGGGAGATCCACAATATACAGCTTTTAACAATTTAAAAAATCTCGATATTCTCAGCATCTCAAATTCACTGTGTCCAAAATAGAACTGTTGTTTCTATTTACCCACCTGTACTCTCTGCCCTCACTGTAGTTGTTTCCCGTGCTCCACCACCCAAGCCTTCCTCAGTAAACGACCCTTCTGTCTTTCCAGTTGCATAGACATCCAACTAGGCTGCTTACTTGATGTCTTCATTTTTTGCTTAGCAGCCTTATCAGGTCTATCTCCAGGTCTATCTATATTTTGAATCCCCTGCTACTCACCATATTTACTGCTCTGCATAAATCACCATCATCCTTTGCTTGGAATGCTGCATCAGTTTCCTAATCACCCCACCTTCAATCTTCTTCTATTGGCCATACTTCAAAAGTGTAAATCATCATTTCATCCCTCTGCTTAAAACGTCTGATGTTTCTCCTTACTCTTAAAATGGCAAACTCTTTCCCCTGAGCCCTGCATGATTTGGCTCCCAGCAGCCCCTCCAGTCTCCCCTTCTGCCTCCTGCACACTCCAGCCATGCTGACTTTTCTGTTCTTCAAGTTCACCAATCTCTTTTTCGTCTTAGAGAATTTGTTCTTCTGCCAGGAATACATGTTACCACATCTTTGTGGTAACTTTGTGATAAGACTGTCCCCTTATCTGAAAGTCTTATCTCAGATGTCACATCTAAGAGTGGTTTTCCTTGACCACTCTAGCCAAAGCAAATGTTGACCATTGACTGACTGAATGAAAGGAGTTGTATATAATGTAGCAGCGTTGAGAATTTAAGGCCGATTCACTATATAGCTCTAAGCAAATAGGTCTGTAATAGTTTTCCTACCTAAAATCTATACAGTAGATTCAGATACTTAGCTGACAGTTTTATATATCAATGTGGCTCATCAGCAAAATAATACATTGTTGGGGGCCAGAATCTGTACTAGAAATTGCCACTTCTTTCAAATTTGATTTTGCACAAGAGCTGGGCTTTTTGGTCTTCTTTTAATTCAGAGTACTGTGAAATTATTACCCATAATTCTAAATCTCATTTAATTCTCCCTAATAGGATTCAAGATGGATTAGCATCAAAATTTACTTCTTTAACAAAAGTACTTTATGACTTTAATAAAATACTAGAGAATGGTAGGATCCATGGGAGTCCTTTACGGAAACTTGTGATAGACAATTTTGATGATGAGCAGATCTGGCAACAACTGGAATTGCAGAATGAACCAATTTTACAATACTTCCAGAATGCAGTTAGTGAAACAATTAAAGAAGAAGACATCAGTCTTCTCCCAGAGAGTGAAGAACAAGAGTGTGAAGAGGATGATTCAGAGATGGAGGCTGATGGCCAGGAGGACCTAGAACAAGTTTTGGAGCAGGAAGAAGCATCAGACATAGATGCTGACAGTCCTAAAGAGGATGAGAGAGCTAAAAACTCAAGTAAATTTGATCTGAGGAAAAGCCCAGTTTTCAGTGATGAGGATTCTGACCTTGACTTTGATATCAGCAAATTAGAACAGCAGAGCAAGGTACAAAGCAAAATGCCTAAGAAGTCAAGAGAAAAATCCATAGTAGATGATAAATTTTTCAAACTATCTGAAATGGAGGCCTTTTTAGAAAACATAGAAAAAGAAGAGGAACAAAAAAATGAGGAGGAGGATGAAGATATTGATTTTTTTGAAGATGTTGATTCTGATGAAGATGAGGGAGGACTATTTGGAAGTCAAAAACCTAAGGTAAAGTTTCAAGGGAGGAGAAAGAGTACTTTCTTCCTTCTCAAATTAGATTTTGTTCTGTTGTTCTAGGAGAGACTCAATTGTAGTTAGAAGATTTAGAGATGTGGAATATTGTGCTCTATTTTATCAGTTATAAATGAATCTATACTTAAATTCAGTTTATGTTCCAGTTCTTATAATTTTATGGTAGTGTTATTGATTGCCAATTTTCCCTAATAACAGTTTTTGGCTTCTAGTGCTGAAGTTGGAAAATAATGTATATATACAATACACATACAAATAGGTGCATGTTTTAATGTATTTTTCTATCCTTAATTAAAATTTTAAAAAATATTTTTGTTTTAGTCAAGTAAAAGTTCCAGAAACCTGAAATACAGAGATTTCTTTGATCCAGTTGAAAGTGATGAAGACATAGCAAGTGCTCATGATGATGAGCTGGGTTCAGACAAAGATGAGGAAGAAATTGCTCAAGAAGCAGCAGAAGAACTAAGCATTTCTGAAACGTGAGTATTTTGAATCATCCTTTACATTATAAGCTGGAATCGTGCATTCATAAATGTGTGCTCATAGTTGTCAAATGTGTTTATCTTAAGAAATTAGATTCCCTAAGATCAGATAGGAGATTTTTCTTGCTTCCTTCCTTCCTTCCTTCCTTCCTTCCTTCCTTTCTTCCTTCCTTTCTTTCTTTCTTTCAGACAGGGTCTTGCTCCGTCACCCAAGTTGGAGAGCAGTGGCACAACCATAGTTCACTGTAACCTCGAACTCCTGGGCTCAAGTGATCCTCCTGCCTCAGCCTCCTGAGTAGCTGGGATTATAGGTGCATGCCACCATGCCCCACTAATTTTTTTTTCTGTTTTGTAGAGACAGGATCTTGCTATGTTGTGCAGACTGGTCTCAAACTTCTGGACTCAAATGATTCTCCTGCCTTGGCCTCCCAAAGTGCTAGGATTATAGGCATGAGCCACTTTGCCTGGCCTATTCTATTACTTACATAGCATTTCACCTAAATAATTCCTTCCGTTGTTCCTTAAGTGAGTGACTTTGGAAATTCTGAATATTTGGTTGCATTAGGTTTACAAAAGAAGAACTTTGTTAATGGAAAATTTGTTTCCTTTTGTTTTTCTAATGAAAAGTAGTATATTTCCTTTTATAAGCATTTTAATGTTGTAGGGATGAAGATAATGACCTTGAAGAAAATGAAGATGATAAACAACATAAAGAAAGTTTGAAAAGAGTGACCTTTGCTTTGCCAGATGATGAGGAAACTGAAGATACAAATGTTTTAAATGTAAAGAAAAATTCTGATGAAGTTAAATCCTCTTTTGAAAAAAGACAAGAAAAGGTAATTATTAGGAATTTAAGGATTTTTTTTTATATGCTTAACATGACTGTGGAACTCAGACTATTAACTAATCTCAGTTTCTCTTGTTGGAACTATTAACCTTTTTTTCCTTCCACCTGTTTTTCGTGAGAGGATGTTAACCATCTTTTAAAAACAAAAATCTTGCTGCTACTCTCTGTAAAGCGCACTGTATATAGAGATGCCATGTGGAAAACATCTAATTTGCAAAAATCAGTGCCTGTATCTCCCAACTTACGGCTTTCAGTTTGGGGCCTGTGTGTAAAACAGTTGTTTTCTCTGTCCCTTATGTCTTCATATGTATGGCATGTGTCTCCTAGTAAGCTGTGGCCTTCTTATAACTATTTCAGCTGCTCTAGAGTGCACTGCCTATCTCTTTAAGGTACTTCACAAATGATTTTTGTGAGTGCCACATATACTGAATTTTAATTAATACCATCTCAAACAGATCTTCCAAAGTTGATAAAAATTATTTCTCTATGACATGATTTGAGACAAATGAATTGCCACTTAATTTTAATAGATGTAGTCTGGCTCCAATCATTTGGCTCTATCATTTATCCACCCTAAAATTATATCACACAATTAGAAAAGAGAATAAGCACGTAATGAAAGATACCAAGTATATCAAAAGAATTATTAAAAAAATGAGAATCTGTATTAAAACCGTGGTTATCAGATTGTCCCCAGAAGATAAAGTCTAAAGAAATAAAGCACCATAAAAGAAAGTAAATTTGTCAACGAGTGAGCGTCCTCTCATCTCATTCCTCCTACCCTCCTCTCCCAAAAAAAAAAGAAGGTTTAATTTTACTGTGGGATTATATCAAACCTTCAAGAAATAGACAATTGATTACAAACTTTTTTCTTGTGAAATTGTTATAACATGAAAACCCAAACCTGACAAAAGTAGCATTAAAATACACACACAGGCTGGGCGCAGTGGCTCATGGCTGTAATCCTAGCACTCTGGGAGGCCGAGGCGGGCGGATTGTTTGAGCTCAGGAGTTCGAGACCAGCCTGAGCAAGAGCGAGACCCCGTCTCTACTA